ATCCCTCTCACCCTGGGGCCCGTCGCCCCTGTCCCACAACCCACCCCCATCCCTCTCACCCTGGGGCCCGTCGCCCTTGCCCCACAAACCCCGCATCATTCCTCATCCTGGGGCCCATCGCCCCTGCCCCATGACTCCCGCCCATCCCTCTCACCCAGGGGCCTGTCACCCCTGCCCTATGACCCCCCCTGCATCCCTCTTACCCTGGGCCTGGTGCCTGAAGGGGTTCCTATGTGTGTCTCATCTGACAAATTTCTGGAGCTAGTGGAGCCCTTAGATTGCTTTGCTTGAGATGTGCCAATGGGCAGTTGAATGGGATTGTTTTACCACACAATTATGGGAAAACATTTATCTGCAGGATGGAGTTGCCACATAAAAGAAGATTTTTCATCTTTACCTACTGCCTCGCGGATCAAGAGTGTTAATGTGGGTATATGGTGAAAAGAGATTGTGACAATGGGCGCTTACTTGGCAGATCTCCTCCGTGTGTGTGTTCTGAGTCATATCTGCTGAGTTTGTCGACTAAGGCTATGTCTATACTAGAGAGTTTATAGCAGCACAGCTCTACCGATGTAGCTGCACCGCTGTAAGATCTCTCATGCAGCTGCTCTATCTCCCATCAATATAATTAAACCACCCCCAACAAGAGGTGGTAGCTATGTTGGTGAGAGAAGCTCTCCTGCCGACACAGTGCTGTCACACTACCCTTCTGCCGGCATACCTTATGTTGCTCAGCTGTGTGTTTTTTTCACACCCCTGAGTGACATAAATTTTGCCAACATAAATGGTAGTATAGACATGGCCAAATAAGATCTTGCTACTTACTCCTGTTTTCCCTGTAGAGCCACTGCAGCTTGGAAAGAAGGAGCTGGATCCCATTCTGCCTCATGCATTGACCACTGCCTTGTTAACAAGTGTTAACTGCAGAACCTTCATTGTTGGGGATGCTTGAGCCAGGAAGAAAAACCCATTTTGACTCAGATTTCCCATATGAGTCTGGAAGGACAGCAGCTAGACAATCCATCTCTGTGCTTATAAATTCAGCAGATTTGACCTAGAGTCACGGAGACACAATAAACGTGGAACAGTTTTATATCATTTTTAGAATCACTTTTCAAAGCAGCACTATCCTTTAATATTCTATGTAGTAGATCTTAATCTGTGTGTTTCCACAAAGCTCAAAGTGATCTAACTGATGCAGCTGTTGTTTGCTTCAAGACTCAGATCTTCTCTTGTTATTTACTACATGAAGGATGTTACTCAAGTTTTCCTGCACAAAATTGTTTTTGGTAGTAGATACAATATATATAGTAGCAGGGCAAATAAGGCACAAAATATTAAAAGTTCCTCTAAGACCTGGGCTCCTGGCTTCCTGCAGGGAGCCTGGCTGCTGTCTGGAGGCTCCCAGCTCCCTGTTCCCCACTGATAGAAGGAGGGTAGTGTGGACATGAATCACCACAGTGATTACTGCCCTAACAAAGTAGAAGTCAGGACTAAAGTGTCTTTGTCATGAATAATAATGCTTAGCACTTTACACATTCAATGCACTTAAACATTAAATAATTAATCCCCACAACACACGTGACATCCTTGCATGGATCACAGTATTGAAATTGTAGAATGACTTTGTCTAGCAGTTAGGCATTCCTACAACCTCTCCCTGGAAAATACTGTAAATCTTCAGTGTCTCTGTGTCTGCCACCTGTAGCAGTATGGGGGATTTCATTCTGATATTTCTGCAAGGAAAATATGGAAACAGTACTACCACCCCTCACACTTGGATCTTGCTGGGCTGAGCCTGCCTGTCCATACGTGGTTTTTCTGGGTGTGTTTCTGGGGCAGGCCCAGCCCTTGTACTGTGTCAGGTCGGGTGCAACCTCACCGCCGAGCCCCTGTCCTGGGGGAAAGGGGAGGCTGCAGGGTGATCTCCCATCTCCATGCAGCCAGTGACCTGTGCTCCCCATTGCCACACTGGAGCCTCCACATTTATTTATTGACAAAATTTGCAGAATTTTGCAGTTTTAAAATATTGTGCGCAGAATTTTTAATTTTTTGGCACAGTATTCCCTCAGGAATAATCTCTTGTGAACAGAAAAAAAGGTGGTTCTTTGCTCCACTACACACTTTATTCAGTCATGCAATGCACAAAAGGAAACCACAACACCCCCCTCCCAAAAGAGAAGCAGGACCCAGCAGATGCCCATGGGAGATGAACTGCAGCCCTCCCTCCCTTACCGAGCAGCACAAGGGGAGGATACCAGGCTGGGGCTCACAGCTCCCTGCCGGCCCTGGGGAGTTAGGGTGTGGGAGGAGGTTCTGATCTGGGGCACGGGGCTGGGGTGCGGGTGGAGGTGCAGTGTCTGGGAGGGAGTTAGGGTTCGGGGTGCATGCTCTGGCTGGTTGGTGCTTACCTCAGGCAGCTCCCGGCTGGTGGTGCAGCGGGGCTAAGGCAGGCTTCCTGCCTGCTCTGACTCTGCGCGGCTCCTGGAAGTGGCCGGCATGTCCAGCTCCTAGGCACAGGGCTGGCCAGGTGGCTCTGCACCTGCAGGTTCTGCACCCACAGCTGTACCCATAGCAGCGCTGGGGGCAGGGGCAGCACACGGTGCTTCCCTGATTGCCCCTGCGCCTAGAGGCTGGATGTGCCAGCTGCTTCCGGGAGCTGAGCGGAGCCAGGGCAGGTTGGGAGACTGCCTTAGTCCCGCCAACTGGACTTTTAACGGCCTGGTCAGCATGGAGCCGCCAACGTCCCTTTTCTACCACATGTTCTGGTCGAAAACCGGATGCCTGTCAGTCCTAAACTCCAGGTCCTGGCTCCCTGTGCCCAGGAATGGATGGATTCAGCTGTGGCCAGCAGAGCGGATAGCAGGCAGAAGGACAGGAGCACCCACATGGTGCCCGGCATTTGCTGCCATGAACAGAGCAGTGATGAAGCAGCTGACGTTGTGGGTATGGCAGGCACTTTGGCAAATACCTGCCCTGGAGAGGTCACCTGAGGCTGTCCATGATGGAGATGGGAGATTTCACAGCCCTAAGCATTGTGAAATTAACCTGGAGGCACATTTCCCTCCTCCGTCATATTCCCACCCACCGGCATGGCTGGGTAAGCCACTGCCTCAAGTGCCCACAGCCTCCTTCCCCAGAGGCAGCTAAGCCAGCCCGCGCCTTTCCCTAGCCACCTGGGCCTTGCCTTTGGGGAGGAGGTAGAGGCAGTCCTGGGAGGAGGTTGAGGTTTAGTGGGTTAGAGCAGAGGAGGCTGGGAGATAGGACTCCTGGGTTCTATCCCCAGCTCTAGGAGAAGAGTGGGATCAGGTGAATTAGAGCATGGAGGGCTGGGTTTCAGGACTCCTAGATTCTCTTGCTACCAGTATTTCTTGTGCACAGAATAGAGGCGACCTCTTTGGCCCATCACATGTTTTATTCAGCCAATGCACAAAAGGAAACAGGAGTGGGGAGTCACCAGATGCTAGGCTCGATCCCAGCGCTGAGAGTGGGGTCTAGTGGTTAGAGTGGGAGGGCTGGGAGCCAGGACTTCTGGGTTCCATCACTGGCTCTGGGAGAGGAATGGGGTCTAGTAGTTAGAGTGGGGGCAGGGGCTGGGAGCCAAGACTCCTGACTTCTCTCCATGCAGGTGTGGCCAGAGTAGGGGGTCTAGGTTTGCAGCAGACACACACCTGGGATGGCCCCGGCGTTGCAGCCATCAGTGTCACAGTAGGCGATGTTCACCCGCATGGTGATATTGCATGGGAAGGTCTCTGTAAAGGGGCCGGCCTCATAGCTCTTGGGTGCCAGGCACGACTTAGCCACATAGCAAAAGAAGTTTGCCCCTGTGGAAGGGAAATGGAGAATCACTTCTTAGCTCCCCAGTGCCCCCACAGCTGCTCCATCCACCCTCTTTGTATCTACCTATCCAACCCCCATCTCATCGTATCTACCACCCCCCTGACAGAATCCTCTCTTCTATCCTATCCAGTCCCCCCATCCACCCACTGCAATTCCCCAGCTCATCCCATCCCCCATCTATTACATTATCTTCCCAGACTGAGGAGACCCAGCTCCAAGAGGGGAGTGGGCTCTAGTGGTTAGATTGGGGAGAGGGCTGGGAGCCAGGATTCACAGGTTCTAGCCCTGGGTCCAGGAGGACAATTGCATCTACACTTAGTAGGAATCTTGTTTCACTCACCCAGGTTGAACCCTGCCACAGCAATGAGGCAGGTCCCACGCAAGGGGGCGCAGAGCTGCAGGGGGCCAGAGCTCAATTCCTCTTTGGACTTACACACCTCACATAGCAGAGCACTTCCTGGAGGTTTGAAAAATCCCTTCTCAGTTCAAATCCCAGCTCCTGACCCCTCCGAGGCAGTGCCCATGGGATAAATACCACTAGGAACCAAGAGGTGGCACTCTGGTAGTTCTTGCCACCAACACCACCTCACTGAACGTGTGGGCAGGTAGATATTGGAGAAATTCTATGTGCTTTTGTCCCAACTCTGCCAAGTTCCATTCAACTCAACGTATGGGGAAAGGCATCTTACTAACTGGTTATTTGTGTCTTCTTCAAAACTGTAGACAAGTCTGTTTGCTGCCTGAGTGTCCGTGGCTAGAGTGATTTTTAAGCTGCACAGCTGGCTATCCGGGGTATTAGTCGCATGTGCAAAGAAACACCACACATCTGTGTAGACAGAAAAAAAGAATTACACTGCTCTAAAGAGGGGTTTCTGCCTGGATTTGGGGTGACCGTATTGCCTCCCCCTGACTTGCTGTTCGAGGACTCTGCCTCTCAGAGTAACATTAGCTCAGCTACGATCAAGTTCCTAGACCACTTTTCATCCATGGTCATGTCAATTCTCTTCTTCAGAATTTGATTTATGATTGTTAACCCTTTTGATTGATGGCTGTACACCTCCAGCATGCATGCTATGATACCCGGCTGGGTGAAGCAATCCCGTGATCGTTAACTCTTTTCTCTCCAGATTTTGGGAGAGTTTAAATTCAATACATGAACATAATTTTTTGAAAGAAAGAAAGAAAGAAAGAAAGAATAATTGATCCACTTCGGGTTTTTTAAAGAGCTTTCATCTGGAAACATCACTTCAACCTTAGCACCAGGGAGAAATGGTTCAAGGGAGAACACTAGATTTGTTTGTGGGTAAACTGATGGCTCAAGGGAGTACACCAAAGTTGTTTTATTCAGGCTAGACAATAGGAACTGCTCATTCCTGACTATGGGCGGTGTTCCTTCCAGGGAGCTCACAGTGCAGTTAGGCAGCTTCAGTATTTTGGATACCAATAAAGGATTTATTACTAGAACTGGTCTGATAACTACTGAGCTGGGTGTGTGCAGGAGTAGGTTCATTAACATCTGGAGCAGAGATCCCCCATCATGCAGTGCTTCCCTGCTTTCCTGGTCCCAGAGTTCAATGCAGTTCTCTGTTCTCCATTCTGTATGCTAATGGGGATGCCTTCCTGTCCCACCTTCAATGCAAATGAGGCTAGGGGAGTTTCCTTTATCCTGTCACTCTCCTCGGGAGGGGTTTAGGTGTGTCTCCCACTGCCTTTTCATTGCTTTCTGTAAGTCTTTCTTCTGATCGGTTTTGGTTCAAGCAGAGGCTGGGGTGTGTGTGTGTCTGTCGTGAGTCAGACAGGCTGGATACTGCGCCCTGGTTCCCCAAGAACACAGAGCTGACAGGTAACATGGAGGAGGAACGAGGAGGAAGGACAGATGGACTCAGAGGATGACCCCGTCACCCCAGCATGACCCACAGCCCACTGGACAGTGCCCTCGTGTGGGATGCGCAAGTCCCAGAGTCAAATCCCTGCTCTCTCTGAGTCAGCCGGGGGACGTGGCCCCGGGTTTTCCTCTTGCTGATTTTAGCCACAAATTCCATCCTGACTCAAGAATCTGTCATCAAAAGTGTCACATTCCCCGGGTGAATTCCCACCCCCTGCAGTGCCTGGTTCCCTGTGCACGGGGACGGATGGGACTCACCTGTGGCCAGGAGAGCAGACAGCAGGCAGAGGGGCAGGGGCACCCACATGGTGCCCAGGCATATGCTGCTGTGAACAGAGCAGCGATGAAGCAGCTGGCTGTGGGAACGGGAGGCAGGTTGGCAAATAACTGCTCTAGAGAGGTCACCCAAGCCTGCCCCGTGATGCAGATGGGAGATTTCACAGCCCTGAGCATTGCAAAATCAACCCTAAGTCACATTTTCCCCCTGCAGCACATTCCCGCCAACCTGCACGGCTGGGTGAGCTGCGACCTCAGGTATCCACAGCCCTCCTCCCCCAGGGGAGCTCAGCCAGCCCACACCTCTCCCCAGCCACCCGGGCCTTGCCTTCGGGGAGGAGATAGCAGTAGAGGCAGGCCTGGGAGGGGGTTGAGGTTTAGTGGGTTAGAGCAGAGGGAGGCTGGGTTTCAGGACTCCTGGGTTCTCTTCCTGCCAGTGGTGAACTTTGCTCCTAAAACAGGGCTACGCATGCTGCTTATGCAGCACACCCTGCCACTGCTAGCTTGTGGAATAAGTATCAGATTCTAGATACAAACAGAGACCTTCCCAATGTTACATTGTGCTCAGACTACTAAGGTGGCTAGAATACTATTTTGGGGGGAGCAATTGGTATAATATTGTTAAACAGAGAATCTGAAGAATTGCAGTAAATAATACACCCCTCAAAATTCAAATGTGAAACCACTTCCAACACTAGATGGCCTCAGAGCATAGGCAGTGAGTTATATGGACCCGTGGTGCCTGTGCTCCACCAATATTCAGGAACGTGGTCCCGGTTCCACCAGTGTTGGGCTTATATTTTCAGAGCCGTCCTGTCTATAGGACAGACTGGGGCAACTTCCCCGGGCTCCTCCCTTTGGGGGCCCCATGCTTTGGGGGTGCCCCGCACTTCAGGAGGACACAGGGTCCAGGACGGACTGTGGGGTTAGCGGGGGGCCTGGCACCAGCAGCAGTGAGTGATCAGGCCCCAGCCCACCCCGCTCTGCCCCGCCCCGCCTCTTCCCACCCCTGATCCGCCCCCGCCCCCACTCTGCCCCTTCCCCCAGCCCCTGCCTCCACCCCACCTCTTTCCAGATTTTGCCCGCTCCTCCGAGTGATGCTGGGAGCCAGCGGGGCAGGGCAGAGCAGAGCGGGGAGGGTTGGGGCCAGGCTGCCCACTGCTGCTGGCGCCAGGCCCCCCGCTAACCTCCCCAGGCTGCCCTGGACCCTGCATCCCACTGAAACGCGGGGCCCCCCAAAGTGCAGGGCCTGAGGCGGTTGAGGTCTGTCCTATGGACAGGATGGCTCTGCTTGGACCCATTCTGGGCACCAACAAAAATTATACAAACCTGGCACCCATGTCTCACAGTATTAAATGAGGATCTAATAACCAGGGTGCAAAGGCATAAATGACTGCTTCTTTTGTTGTTTTAAGAATGTACTGTTTTAAGAATATTACATGAGTAACATGACAATATATTTAGCAACATTAAGTAAATTATACATAATTTAATTTAAGATCAAGTAGGAGAGAGAACAGGGAGTCAGAGTCAGAATTCCTAGGTTCCATTCTTGGCTCTGGCATTGACTGCTGTGTGACTTTGGATAATAATTAGGGTTGTCAAGCAATTAAAAAAATTAATCACGATTAATCGTGTGATTAATCGCACTGTTAAACAATAATAGAATATCATTTATTTAAATATTTTTGGATGTTTTCTACATTTTCAAATATATTGATTTCAATTACAACACAGAATATGAAGTGTACAGTGCTCAGTTTATATTTATTTTTATTATAAATATTTGCACTGTAAAAAAAAAGAAATAGTATTTTTCAATTCACCTAATACAAGTACTGTAGTGCAATCTCTTTATCATGAAAGTTGAACTTACAAATGTAGAATTATGTACAAAAAATAACTGCATCCAAGAATAAAACAATGTCAAACTTTAGAGCCTACAAGTCCACTCAGTCTTATTTTTTGTTCAGCCAATCGCTCAGACAAACAAGTTTGTTTACATTTGCAGAAGATAATGCTGCCCACGTCTTGTTCAAAATGTCACCTGAAAGTGAGAACAGTTGTTCTCATAGCACTGTTGTAGCCGGCGTCACAAGATATTTACATGCCAGATGCGCTAAAGATTCATATGTCCCTTCATGCTTCAACCACCACTCCAGAGGACATGCGTCCATGGTAATGACGGGTTCTGCTCGATAGCAATCCAAAGCAGCGCAGACCAACGCATCTTCATTTTCATCATCTGAGTCAGATGCCACCAGCAGAAGGTTGATTTTCTTTTTTGGTGGTTTGGGTTCTGTAGTTTTCGCATTGGACTGTTGCTCTTTTAAGACTCCTGAACGCATGCTCCACACCTCATCCCTCTCAGATTTTGGAAAGCACTTCAGATTCTTAAACCTTGGGTCGAGTGCTGTAGCTATCTTCAGAAATCTCACAGTGGTACCTTCTTTGCGTTTTGTCAGATCTGCAGTGAAAGTGTTCTTAAAATGAACAACATGTGCTGAGTCATCATCCGAGACAGCTATAGCATGAAATATATGGCAGAATGCAGGTAAAATAGAGCCGGAGACATACAATTCTCCCCCAAGGAGTTCGGTCACAAATTTAATTAACGCACTATTTGTTTAACAAGTTTCATCAGCATGGAAGCATAAGTGCCATGCGAATCCCTGTTCTCAGTTTCTGGTGACATTGTAAATAAGAAGTAGGCAGCATTATGTCCTGTAAATGTAAACAAACTTGTTTGTCTTAGCAATGTGCTGAATGAGAAGTAGAACTGAATGAACTTGTAGGCTGTAAAGTTTTGCATTGTTTTGTTTTTGAGTGCAGTTATGTAACAAAAAAAAAATCTACATTGGTAAGTTGCACTTTCACAATAAAGAGATTGCACTACAGTACTTGTATGAGGTGAATTTCTTATGTTTATCATTTTTACAGTGCAAATATTAGTAATCAAAAATAATAATATAAAGTGCGCAATGTACACTTTGTATTCTGTGTTGAATTTGAAATCAATATATTTGAAAATGTAGAAAAACATCCACAAATATGTAATAAATTTCAGTTGGTATTCTATCATTTAACAATGCAATTAAAACTGAAATTAATAGTGATTCATTTTTTTAATCACGATTAAATTTTTTTAGTTAATCACGTGAATTAACTGTGATTAATCAACGGCCCTAATAATACTTATGCAGCCTAATGGGGGGAGGGGTGTTGTGGCGCTTAATATATATCTGCAAAATGCCTTTAGTTCTTGAGTACAAGGTGCTACAAAAGGGCAGAGTGTGATTATTATTTACACACAACAGGTTCCGTAATGCATTTTTAAAGAAAGAACTATAAAAAAAGAACTATAAAAAAGGAAAGATAATGTACATTTAAAACTATAGGGATAAAATAAGGTCTGTAAATTGGGCTTCTTGAACTATGGGTCATTCAGGTGTTCTTTTGGCTTGCAACAATTTGTCACTTTGCCTGTTCTTCGGTAGAATGAGCAGAGCACTGACCACAGGCGTGCTCTGTATTTTGGATTAGTCTCTAAGGTGCCACAAGTACTCCTGGTTTTTTTTGTATTTTAGAGACCCCTTTTACTGCATGAAGAACAGGAGGGCTACATGTACATGATAGGCCATACCCACTCTTTTCTGTTCAGCAGGAGAACTTGAGGGCAGTGGAGGCACCTGAAGGGAAGAGCTGACTGCCTGCCTCTCTAGGGATTTATACCCAATGCTCATCACTGTGGTCCCTGAGCATGAATCTGATCCTTAACTAAAGGAGACACTGTCTGGCGAGAGTGAAGGAGCTGACCATGGTTGAGATGGATGTGGAGGCTGATGACTTAACATGAAAAATGTGGAAACAAGGAAGGGAAAATAAGAAAGAAATATGGAGCCATGCACCTATACTCAAATACCATCAACATAGACTCTGCCTCTGATCAGTGAGAGGTTAGACTGAATTCCAGTGTCAGATGATTTTCTATGTCACATCACTCTCAGCACTGAGAACTCTCTTGAGATATTCAACAGCAGGTTTACTGAGAAGTTGGGAGATACCAGTCTACGTGCCAGAGAATATAATAAAGCTACGGGAAGATATTCTCTGCAAATCAGATCAATTAGAGAATGCAATTGCAGCAATGACGTAATGAGCCAAACTGTGTCCGTAGTTTCATTCTGAGAACTCCAGTGCAGTAAAGAATGGCTGCAGTCCCAATTTGATCCAAATTGGAGCAGACAAATATACAAGAGCGTAACTCTGAGAGGAGAACAGATATTTTAAATGAGAGTAATCTAAGCATCTAAGTCACTAAGCACAATAGCTAGGGAGAATGAATAATAATCAAATTCAAACAGCCTGAATTCCCCCTCTGCCATTCAACTACAATTCTAAAGGTGGTGATAGTCTGTTTTTCAGTGTTTGATTGCAGGGATGTTTCAGGTGGTAATGTTGTGAGAACTATCAGCAGTGTCCGACAGGTAATCAGCATTTCAGTTGAATACTCATGGGCTTCCCATAGTTTCCAGTGTCAAGCAGGAACCTGATGGTATGTAGATAGTACTTCAAACAGTTCCAGTTGCTGAACTCTGTGCTCTCTCTATCTCTGACATCCAATTTATCCTCTTGCCTTCATGCCTTTGCTGGCTCTTAGCAGTTCCTTGCACCCTTGCCCTTAGCACAAACATTTTCTAAGATACATGATATAGGCTGACTTAATTCATATCTTCCAGGACAGTTTACTTGCCCAACACCTCTGTGAGGTCATTGATACAGTCAACCCTCTATTCTGTAGGAAAGCTCACCTGGTATGGGGCTTCTGGGAAGTCACTGATACAGTCACCCTGTATCCTACAGGACAGTTTCCCTGGCTTGGTCCTTTGTGAGATCATTGTTATGATCATTCCTATGTCCTGCAGGATTTTTTCCTGCCTGTAGAGCCTATGTGTGATAGTATGACTCCAGTAACCCACCCAATTGCTCTTCTGCTCTGGGAACACGGTGAGAGCACTGAGAGGGTATTCCCTGTATCCTGCAGGACAGCTCCCTTATTACTCTTATTTGTAACACCTATTGCCTCAGTCAGGGATAAGATCCCTATTGTGCTGGGTGCTGTACAGACATGTCAAAAGATAGGTTAACGACTGGGGCTGGCAGTCATATAAATCTGATTTTGTTATGAATTAAGTCAGCCTCTCTTTGAGGGCTCATTCACCTGGACATTGACTCTCTCTTTCATCCACCCTTCTGGTTTGATATAAAAGGGAATGGGGTCCCTGTAGAAGGGTGTAATGCACACCATGGCTTGTTAGCCTTCTCTCCTGTTGCCTTTTATAAATACCTGGTCTGCAGTCTGCACCTCACTATAGAACTTAACTTGGGTTTCTAATTCTGTTGAGAGGTTCTGCCAGTGGCCCATATCTGACTCTCCCCTCTCAGAGAGGGAGACACTATGAATTTGATTCTTCTCTCATTTACACTGGTATAAATCCACTAATCTCAGTAGAATTATTTATGATTTATATTGGTTTAAATGGGGTGAGATTCAGACCCTATGATCTCTGCGGTTTCTAGGCTTTTAACTCCCAAGAAGCAGGAGTCCTTAAATGCAAGTGCCCAGTATAATATCAAGAATAAGTCTCTATCCACCTCTAGAGTCTCCTTTTTATTAAAAATATTGCTGTGGGTTGTGAAGAATCTCTGATCACAACAAGAATGTTGGTAACGTTCAGGAACGTTCAACGCACATTCTGCTTTGGTTACCTGGACTAATCTAGGTTAAAAATGTCTACAAATGTGCACAGCCCATGTGTGGAGAGTTATAATTTAAAATGATGTTCTTGAATATTGTACAGTTAAATGGTTACCTACAAAACATACCAGGCAGGTATAGAAACCAGACCAGTAGCTGCTTGTGCAGAATGTTACTTAATTGGTGGTAAGAACATTGAATTTTTGTGAAGAGCTGTTTCACTACTATGTCCTGCTTTGTCTCTTTTGATAGCTTTTTCCACTGGGCTTTCCAGATCTTCCTCTGGAATAACCTGTTTGGTTGTGTTCTGCGCTTTATTTTCCATTGTGTCTGAGGAACGTGCATTGAGAGTTAGTCTTTCAGTTGCAGCAGTAGGATTTTCAGTCATTTCACATTTTACTTTATCAACCATATCTTGACAGGTGTTTTCTTCTGTACGAAATAAAATAAAACAACAGTGTGAAACTGTAACGTGTCCGCAGGCCCACATTAAACCTGCAAAGGGCCAATCAATTATTTCCTCAGCATTTCAGAGGAGCAGAACCACCAACCCCAATGCATTTTTTCTGCCCTAAGAACTAAAGTGCATTGTGGATGGATTGTAGATACTGTCTCTGATTATTTTTCTACCAATATAACTGTATGAAGGCTCTTTCTGCATGAACCTATGGGACTTTAATTGTTATATTTACCTTGTCGGGCTGCAGATAAACCACATGACCCGGAGGGTAACTCTGTGTTTCTACCAAAGAAGCAGGAAAGAGGTAGTGTGGCCAATGGAGGATGCTGTGGCTGTGGGTATGGCCAATGATTCTATGGAGCATTCCATCATTTTACATTACTTCATCCTTTCTTTTTAACAAAGCTATTTCCTCAAACATGAAGGCCTCTAGAAATCATAACTGCCAACACGTACAAGAGACAAACATTATTAAGAATAAAGAACTGCAAATATTCAGACTACTGCACCTCCTTGTCCAGGCAGTGTGTGTTTATGTACATTCTCCTTCTTCTCTAGTGTGAAGAAGGAGCTTTCACTTGCAGAGTGGGGATTTTGTTTTGATTTATGTATTCGTGGTTCCTGGATCCATGTGTGCTGCATTGCTTCATCTGGAGTCATGCGGAGGGCAGGTTCCCACCTTAAAATATAAAAATGATAAATAATTATTGAACAGTGGGTTTTTTTATAATACTAAAAATGAAAAATACATTAAACTTAGGTTAGGCCAGAAAATACTTTCATTGTCTTCAGGAATATTGAGCCACGAAGACATTTTTCAAATTCACAAAAAGTAAAAAAGCCTGTTTGACTTTATCCATAATCCCATTTGCCAAAACCCTCTTTCTGCTTTCTGCAAATTTGCCTGAGTTACTGATCAAATTCTGTGCAGTATCAAACAGCCAAATTCTTACCACAGATCCTCACATGCAGATCACAATATTATCAGAGGGCTCATTCTGTATATGTGCCCAAGAGCCTTAAAATCCTAAAATGACGTTAGCACCAAGAAAAGGTGTTAGAATTAAGCAACAGCTGCAATCCACTAGCAGATAGGTATTTCCTCAATTAGTTGTACCTCATACAAACTGTGTCAGCTTCCATTCTTCTGACTAGTCTAATGTCAAAACTGTCCATGGCGTTCATTAGAACTTCACAGAGCCATTGTAAGAAAGATACTGGGCCACTACACTGGAATATTAAAGTGATGTTCCTTGTTAAGGGAAAGATTTTTCTTGTAACTAGATCACCGTACAAAACAACATAACTGCAAGTTGAGATTTACAGAAGAGCAACCCTACAAACAGAGTAGTAAATCCTGAAGCTGTTTTTGAGGGTTTCTTCAGGAAAGTAATAATAACTGGTAACAAGGATCCTGCACAGAAAGTGCTGAACATGGTCCAAAATTCCAACCTGACATAGTGCATAGATAACAGTAAAACAGGCAAGGGAGCTGATACTGCTGTCACTTACATGGGTGAAAATCAGGAGTAACTCCTCTGGAGCCAAGCTACATCAATGTAAGTGAGAGCAAAATCTGGTTTATTGTTTTCAAAATTCAATCCTTTGCTGGTTCAAGTTTTTTATTTTGGCTGGTGAACAAAGCATTGTTAGTGTGATTATTAACATCCATCATTCTGGTAAAAAGCAGGTAAGTATTTTGTGTGTAGGCTGGTAAATCTTCGTAACAGTTTTGCAGCAGGACACTACTAAATCCACCTTCCTAGAGTGTTTTGTTAGTCTCCACCACTTCTATTTTTCTAGGTAAAAGATCACACCACACACCAGCATGTCTGTGAGGTGCAATCCGGGGAAGTGCTTGGCACTCTCAATTCCCAAGAGTTTTGCTTCTTCCGGCTCAGTTTGATTCATAACAGGTCACCTTTACTTTGTGATAACAGGGACACACTGGCAACATGCTGGAAAGTCAAGTGCTGCACTTAATTTGCAAATGAACGTACAGGGTTGTTGTTTTTTCAGAAAAAAGAACTGAAGATAGCCTTGATATTTGCTGGTACTTATTTATCATTTGCATGGCACCCACACTGTGCAAGACAATTACTGTCAGGCATGAAGAGAAGGTTTCTATCCTCAAAGGAGACTTTGTGGCACCTTAGAGACTAACACATTTATTTGGGCATAAGCTTTTGTGGGCTAAAACCCGGTTTTAGCCCATGAAAGTTTATGCCCAAATAAATGTGTTAGTCTCTAAGGTGCCACAAGGACTCCTCGTTGTTTTTGCTGATACAGATTAACACGGCTACCACTCTGAAACCTGTCCTCAAAGGGTTTAAGATCTAGATAACCTACTAAAGTTGTATCTTCCTTGAAGATTAACAGAAATTGTTGGCTATTTGCATTTACGAGCAATGAAAAACTTGCAGTTGATCAGTGTCAGTTAAGAGAGCAACCGAAGTCAATGACAAAACCCCTATTGACTTCAATAAGGTCAGGATTTCAACCCACAACTCCCTTGACTTGCCCTCCAGGTTCCCCTGGTTGATAGGAATCTAGTCCAATAACTGGCATGAAAAAAATGCTATTGAATAATTTTTGAAACCTTCCCACCTACAGTGGCCCAGAAGTGTTTATTTTTTCATAAGTAGTAAATAGAAGTAGTAAAAAGAAAAAAATACCCAAGGGGCAAAAGACTTGTCAGGGATTAAAAAATGGTTAGGTGGTAGGAACAAGAGTTGTATTAAATGACTGATTTTCATAATAAAGAGAGGTTAATAGGCGGTTGCCTCAGGAGTGGGATACAGGCCAGGGTGATTTACTATTATTATTTAACATGCTTATTACAACAGTGCCTAAGGACCAACCAAGAATGGGACCCCATTGTGCTAAGCATACAGAATAGTAGATGGTCCCTGCCCCAGAGAGCTTACAATCTAAATAGAGAAGACAGACACGGGGTATAGAGCTTTATAAACATTTACTAATTAATCCTTTCATCACCCCAGTGAGTTAAGAAAGTCAGTATTATTATTTCCAATTTAAAGACAGGAAAACTAATGTGCAGAGAGATTTTGTGCCGGGGTCTACTTAAACTGTGGAGAAATCGCACATTTTTTGCGGGTTGATCACAGCATAAGTAGCATTCATATAGTATATTCCATACCACCCTTACTTCTACATTGCTGCTAGTGGCAGTGCTGCCTTCAGAGCTGGGCATCTGACTAGCAGCCACCTCTTTCCGGCCGCCCAGCTCTGAAAGCCGTGCAGAAGTAAGGGTGGCAATATTGCGACCCCCTCCTACAATAGACTTGCAATCCTCTTTTGGGTCGGGACCCCTAGTTTGAGAAACGCTGTGTACTTTTGTATACTCTTACCCTATAGTATAGTGTAAAGGTACACAAAAGACCAGATTTCATGGGGGAGACCAGATTTCTCAGTCCATGACAAATTTTTATGGCTACGAATTTAGTAGACCTTTAGTTATGTGTCTTGCCCAATCTGTACTGTACTTCATACTAAATAAAATAGAGTGTTTAAAAGAAAAAAGAACTTAGGAGTTTCTGACTCCTGGTTAGATCTGTTCCTAGGCATTTGTGTCCCTAGCCGCCACTCTGCAGTGTCCATGATAGGAATGGGTAGACGGCTAGAATAGCTGCATACCCCGCATATGGGGAGAAGAGCTTGGCAAGTTTTCAACAGGACGGATTTATTATTCCCGCATTCATTTAAATTATTATTGCACCCCACCATATTTCTTTCCAGAGGGAGTGCTCTACTAGTGGAACTACACTTTGAGACACAGATAGCTAAGACTGAAAATGTTCAGGGAAGGGCCAGAAAGATCATGAGAAGTAACAGAAGGACGTAGATATAGATTCATAGATTCAT